CCCCCATTGTGGGGAGATGGGCGGGGACAAGTCTATTAAATAAATAAATAAATAAATAAATTTAGCTTAACAATCTGAAAATTGCAAAGTATACTAATTTGATGGCTTTGATAGACTTACTGCCGGCGCTTCTACCCAACTACCCCCACTCCCATGTACACATAGGCAAGCATAAAAAATATCACATTAGAAAATGGCAGCTTTCAGCTTGTCTACTCAAAAGCAGTTGTGTCTCTGAAACTAGGGAGAGCTCTTCCGTTAGCAGAGCAATCTCATTCCTTTGACCTCAGAATGCTTTGATATAGCCCTGCCTTGGGTGCTGCAGTTGGGAAAGGAAAAGTAGGAATGTGCTGTTCAACATTTACATACATATCTTAAGACAAGGGGATAGAAGGGGTACTCTTCAAATTTGCAGATGACACAAAACTGGGTTCGGGGTGGGGAATTGTTAACACCTCAGAAGATCGGCTCAAGGTTCAAAAGGTTTTCAGTAGACCTGAATATTGGCCTCTGTTCAACACTATACAGCTGAATGGCAAGAAATGTAAGATTCTGGAGCTAGGTGGGAAAAACAAACAGATGCGCGGGTACATGATAGGCAGTATGTGGCTCAGCAGTAATACTGGTGAGAAGGATCTGGATGTCCTGGTAGACCACAGAGTAAGTATGTGGCAGCAGTAGAATGGTGCAGCTGCCAAAAGAACCAGTGTGATCTTGGGCTCCATCAGCAGAGGTATAATGCTGAGAACATTGTTCCACTCTAGCTGCACTAGTCATACCACACCTAGGATACAGCCAGTTTTGGCCAGCACACTATGAGAAGGATGTTGAGTTGGGTACCGAGAACAGTGTCAAAGACAGCGAGTGACTTGAAGGCTAAATCCTATGAAGAACAGTTAAAAGAAGTGGGTATGCTTAGCCTAAAGATGACAAGGTGCAGGTGAGACAGAACAGCAGTCTTCCAATACTTGTATAGCTGTCATAGGGAAGAGGGTATGTCTGTGGCGAAGCTTTAAAGAGGGAGATCTAAGCTTGACATAAGGAGGGATTTTTTTTAACTGTGAGAACTATTAAGCAGTGGAGCGGCCGCCTCCTGGAATCACTGGAGGTTTTCAAGCAACTGTTTTCTGGGATGGTCTGAGTATTCCTGCTTTGGGTAGGGGTGGGCTAGAAGATCGTGAAGGCCCCATCCAATCCTGTAATTCTATGATATGCTAATCTGAGAGGTAAATTCTGAATAACATTGGAACTCAGAATTTCCAATTTTTATCCCAATGTTCATCTTAATTATAAATGCACTCTCTACAGCGTTCAGCTTTTTCTACTAAATAGTCAGGTCAGATGCTAATTTTGCTTGACTACAACAACTCTCAGTCAGAGAATTCCAAATCATGACAAAATATTTATATCCATGAAAAACAAACCTGCGTGTGCGTTTTTAAAAAATTTTTTTGCAACCAATTGCAAAATTATAATTTGAGAGGGCTTATTACTGCGAAGCTATTTCCAGTTCTGAGAAATTCTATTCCTCCTATAATGGTTGTGCTATTTTAAGACAGCAATAAATAAGAGAGAAAGAGAGAATGAAGAAGCACCAGAAGATACTAGCCGTTGCTTCTCTTTCTGCAAGGTAATGATTTCCAAGATTCTTTCAATTCTGTTATTTGATAACAAGTCCTAGAATTCCAACTTTGCAGAACTCTTCTTACCTAAAGATAAGATGGCTCCATGCCTATGGAAGAAACAGAATTAAGAGGAAAAAATCCTGGTGAATGCAGGATTAGTTGGGGCTGTGCACAGCAACTTCTCTATCCATACCCCAGTATTTCCAATCTTCCAGGCTGCAGAATGTTTTTATGCTCCCCCTCTCCCTTTCAGGGTAGGACAAGAGAAGGGAGAGTGACTTTCCCTGACAAATAAAAATCTACTTTCCATATATGTTGCAAGAGGTTGCAGATGTCAAAATGTTAGTCCTCTAAATCTTGCTGCGCTATTATGGTGCATGCCACATATGCAATGCTTCTGAGTAATCAAAAGAGGAAAAGTTATCAGAGGTACAAAAAGTAGCATAGACATGCTTTTTTTTCTTCTCTCATTTTAATGTGGATAGAAATTAAAATAAGGAAAGAAGTGAGTAATGTACTGGATCAAAATACTGGAACAAAAACAGCAAGGGCATCATTGGGTTTTGGCCATCCGTTTCCTCTATTTTTTTCCCTTCCCAATTGTTTCAGTCCAGATTAAGACTTTCTCCTTCTGGAACTCTTTAGCTATGCAAGTCAAGTGACAAGATTAACAACCCAGAGTACCGCGTAGCTGTGACTGACGGTTCAAACTGTATCTTCATTCTTTCTTTGACAAGTACAGGTGCAGGCTTCAAAGTCTGATTGTTCTGATCACATAAGGCAGCTGTAATTCTGTGCTTCAAATTTGATCCTAGCTTGTAACTCCCTCATGTACTTCTGCCCCAACAGAGAATATCGCAATGGATGCTAGAGCTTCCACACAATCAAGCCTGTTCTGTTTAGTGCTTTGCTTGAACCAGCCTCTGGCCCTGTAGTTGGCAGGTCCTCTGCTTGTACAGAAGACCATGCTACTTTTCTAAGCTAAAATTATGCTTCAGAAGTAATTGCTACCTTCATTCTTTCAAAATAAGCCAATATTTTGAGCACATCAGTGACCTTTTTTTTTTTGAACTGTAAACTTTGAGAAGCCATATGTATGTCAAACAGTAAATATATTTGTATCTGACTTCATCCTGGCACTTAACATGAAGCGTTTGACACTGATATTGAATCTATTACCATTACCCTATTTGACCTCCTCTCTGTGATCTGATTCCATAAAAAATACTGAAGTGCTAAAGTCTGTATTAGTAGGCCTACCAGGCTGAAAAATGTTGGGGATACTTCAGCCTGGCTTGGTACATCCACGTTTCAAGGAATTTGATTAAATGTTGATGATATCAAACTAGGGAGTTCCACTGGTAGTAATGACCTGTTGGATGAGATCCTGTATCTCCCTGTATTTCAGAGGGCAGGTGCTTGGGTTTCATTGGCTGCCAAGTAACTGGATGCTCTGCTCACATTTGCCAAGATGTAATCAGCTCATTTAATCTGTGAATAACAGGCAGGGGAAGGTGATACTAATATTGTTGGTAAAGAAGAAAAACAGCAGAAACAAGCCAAGAGCACCAGCCACTTTATCTGAGTGATGACAGCTTTCAAGGGAGGATATCTCAGCAATACAGCATGTGCTTGACATGGAGAAAATACCAGGCTCCATTAAATAACTGGGCCTTGAGCAGCCACGCCTGAACTATTGAAGAGCCTTTCCCAGTTCAGGGGGAAATAAACAGATTAGTAAGCCAAGGGTGTAACACAGTAGGTGACAAGAGTCTTATCTTCATAAACAGCAGGCAGGCATTATCTGGACATTAAATGTGAGATCCCAAATAGGCTACAAATTTAATGCAACAAAAATGCAACATTCTCAAGGGTAAATGATACTTTGGAACAAGGTACACCACCTTTTTTGGGCCAAAGATCTTTGAATGATGAACCAAGGTGCACATCAAAAATTGGGAGGGGCCTGAAAAAACCCCCCACAACATTCTTTTAATATATAAAAAAAATAAATACACATGTTGATCCATGTGTATTCAGCAATTTTGAAGGGACTCTGGGAGCTGCATCTTAGACTTTAGTGGGGTACATAAAACCCCAGGGCCTAAAGTTGTACATTAATGCATTTAAGTAAATAGAAAATATCTAACATGCATTCTTAAAGATCCTTGCAACAATCTTGTCAGGTGGATCAGGATTCTCTCCCATTTTGCAGACAATAAGGAATGATGGACTTTGAAGAAATGAGATATTGATTGATGCTTTTGAAATTGGGTGTTTGAGAATACTATGGACAGCCAAGGGGGGGGGGGCAAAGGACCATCAAACAAAACAGGTCAGAGTTCTCACTCAAGGCATAAATGACCAGGCTAAACTTATCCTACTTCAGACTCATTATGCAAGGACCTACAGTAGCTATAGAAAAGGGTCTAATGCAGGGAAAGGTGGAAGGAAAGAGAAGAGGACAACCAGCAGCAAGTTAGATAGACTCAGTTACAGTGGTGATGAGTGCACTGTTGGAAGACCTAAAGGACCAGATTCAGGAGAGATTGTCACGGAGAAAAATCTATCTGTGTGGTCACCAAAA